TTGATGAATTATTCATGAGTTTGAGAAGCTCAATTGAAATTTTGTAGGCTCAGTTCTGAGAAGATGCCAAACCGTAAAACCTGTTGGGGAACAGGGTACAGATGTTTCTTAAGGTTAAAAGTTCACTGAAATGTATGCTTGGATCACTATACATGTTACCAGAAAAGGAATTCTTAGGATTGTTTAGGTGATTAGTTATAAAAAGCATGATGTTCTGCAGTGTTCCAGATAAGTGAGGGGTCTCAGGTCAAAAACCCAAGGTCAGCTACATGACCCAATAAATAAATAAAAAATATATAATTTATTTTTTATTAATTTGTTGGGTCTAATGATTAGGTGGAAGCAGTGGGAATTGACCCGTTGGAATTCCTTATTGACACCCTGTCTTGAAAACTTATCTGGAACCCCGGATGTCATGCAAATAATTTAAGCTGTGATTAAACAAGGTTGTATTCAGAGTGCTTGAGCATCTCATTTGACATTTTACTCAAAATGCCAAACCAAGAAGAAATCCACCTGCAAATCCTGAAACAGCTGCAGCATTTCGTCTGGCATATAAATAGCCCTGCAAAGAAAAATGTTTCAGATCAGGTAAATTTATTTAAAACCATATTTTGATAGTAAATAAAGCTATTAACATCATTTTCAGTTTTAAGAGGTGTCCACTGGGTTAAAAGTGAACCCTTCCTTAACCCCTGTCATAAAAAATGAAGAGCCCTTCAAAAGTACTGACAGCTGGCAGGAATAACTAGCAACTTATTCTGGGTGAGCTGGCAACTTGGTAGCAAAAAGTGTCTTCTTTTTGTGTGCATTTCCTATATAATTATGCTACTTGCACTAAATTAAATAATAAAAATTGATTATTAAGTGAAATAATTCTCATGTTGACCTTGTTTGCTAGTGCAATAATCCCTTTCTCAACATCTTTCTCATTCTTCTTTATCTTCTTGACTTGCTTTTCAACTTTTTTGGCAACTTTATCCATATCCTTTTCCATTCTTTTCCAGTTGATGTTGATGTAGCCTGCTCTGTGAGCAATCTAAATTTTAAAAGAAAAAAAAAAAAATCTGAGTTTTCTAACTTAACTGTAACTAACATTTTTGGAAAGCAGTGAAAATTAAAACACAGTTTTCTTTTACCTAAGGTTGTCATCCCAATTCACCAGAATCTGGAACTTGCCATCCAGTGGCATATCCAGACCTTGAGCTAAGGGAGGGTTTGCCCTGCCAGCTTTTCTTCCTTCTGTGATTTTTTCCTTTTTTTTTACCCAAAATACGGCGGGTCCACTCCCCCAGGCCCCTCCCCTAGATCAACCACTGAAATCAATACATAACAGAAATAATTCTAGACGCAGCGACAAGTGTGCATATATATTACCATGGTCCAAATCTTGGATCATGGTTGCCATAAGCATTCCTCCCTTGTCTAAAAGGTTCTAATAGTGAATTAAAAAATATATATATTATATATTTATCTTTATTCTGTACCTGAAGCACAAGTATTCCTCCTCCAATAGCCGACAGGGTGAGCTTGCCAACTCTCTTACACACATATGCAGCAAACCTAAGATTGACATCGACAGTCTGAGTATCAGCTTTGAAACAGCACAGAAATCCATATTTCTTGAGACAAAAAGGAGCATTTTACTGTAAAACTCAGAAAACTGTGAACCAGACATATATAATATGAAGTCAACTACACATGAGAAAACTAAACTGCCAACAGCAATGGTAATTAGATTGAAAAGTGAAAAGTGAACTGATCGACATGACACAAGCGTCCCCCACAGGAAGCGAACCCATGACCTCCTGAACACCAGGTGGGCTCTCTATCCACTGAGCTACAAGAACTCATGGAGAGCAAGGTCATCTAACTTAGTTGATCAGTGACAGGTGTCCTGCATACTGCTAGGATCAGCACTGTCAAAGTCATCGTGAGTGCGATAAGTGAATAAAGATGGTGAATTTTATGCTCAGTAATGAAATATAAAAAGTGAACTGATCAACATGACATGTCGTGGGACAAAGAAAAAATCTGAGTCCCTGACAGGAGTCAAACCCATGACTTTGATTATGGAGTGAGCTGACTTTTGGTTGGGGCGAAGTGACCAGGGACGAAATGACCATGGGGCGAAGTGACCAGATACCTCCTGCACACCGGGCGGGTGCTCTATCCACTGAGCTACAAGAACTCATGAAAAGTAAGAACTGAGTACCAGCAAAAAACAAGCAAACCTAGATTTGAGGTTTGCTTGTGTTTCTTGAATTTTATTGTGATTGGTCAGTGCACATGACCTCTATGATTCAAATCAAAGTGTTCACGGTTTTCCGAGTTTCACATTAATAGAATAATTAGTCAAGACAGATATGTTAGAAAATTAATTAATTAGTTAATTATTAAATTCTTCATACCAGCCCGACATTCCCCCAATACTAATTTGTTGAACAACCGGCCTATCAGCCAAATCCATGGCAATGAGCTGTTCAACTAAAGTTCTTGAACCTGGAGTCTCAATTATTTCATAAACATCGCTGTCATCGTCTTCTTGTCCGCCTAGAAATGAGTAAAAAAACAGATACAATCCAATATTTGAGTAAGAGCAAGTCTATCGATATTAAATTGTCGAGTTATCGTCTTACTGTTTACATGTAGTAAATTAAACACAATGAATTGTTTTCAAAACTACCCTTTAGAGAATAAACCCAACGTAATGGGCACAAATTTCTAACTCATCGTCACAATCGAGATGAAGAAAACAAAATCTCATTTGCGCTAGATATAAGCTTCGATTTTCTTCTCAACGTTCAACATCTGTCAATTAGTTATAGTCACGTAAAACTGTTGGAAAAAATAATTTTAAACGGAACTTATTTTTCTGAAGATTTCTCTAGAATTTCAATAAACACAGGGGTTATTGTAGGAGAACTGATAGTTAAAATCCTGAAACAAGATCTCGTGAAAATCAAACTTACTTTGCGACATTGTGTAAAGAAGTTGTCGATTGGAAGCTTCAATATGCTTTGGGTCCTGCAGTTTTTACTGTTCAGCGGAAACATTATAGGTATACAGTTTTGTAATCACGAAAAGGGGACCTTTGATTTTCTTGTTCGATAAAAATATAAAAACTAGTTTTTTGTAGCAGAAAGTCACACAAGTGAAATAGTTCCAAGAAGTATTCTTGCAAAAGAAAATTTGTCTAATTTGACACAACCTTTCTCTCCTTGAAATAGACAGATAGAAGGGCGCTGTGCGGGTAACAGATAATGCTCCTAATTTGAATATAATTTACATGAAGTGGCGGCGGCCATATTGTGTCGCAGTATCCATGGTGCTCGACATTTTGGTGTTTATTTCATATTTAGCTTGAAAAAATTTGCCAAATACATCGATATTCTTATTTATCTTGAGGTTAATTTAAAAAAAGATGTAATTCTTACTCGTTAAAGGTTAAAACTAGCTGAAACCATTGGTTTTTTGGTGTTGAAAATTGAAGAAGAAATTAGTTCCAACATCTTGCAACCGCCATGAGTGAACAACTGAAGTACATAGTAGACGAGCTGAACAAGGAGCCTTTCAAGAAGAATTATAACCTCATAAGGTAAGTTACATCTTTTACTATTCTTTTCTAATAGCTATGGGATAAATGTCATCCGAAAGGCCGGAATCTATGATCAGAATTGCAAATTCTTTGTAAGGGTAAAATGATTTAATTATGTGTTGTTTAGACAATGGGATGTTCTCAATTTTTTCTGCATAATTTACCGACTGGAGGGCAAATTTAATTTCATTACATTGTATTTTTGTGGGGATGGTTGCTACACAGTTCAGTCAAAATTTGCCTAGTAGATGACTCAATTCCAGTCTTTGTTTACATTGTAAAGGGCATTTACACACATTTTATACGGTAAATTTACGAAAATAGTAAAATATTAAGAAACATTAGGTTGTCAAGAAATAAAATTTATATGTGAGCAGTGGCCAAAGTTGTAAGAGCTTTCTGGTTGGACACCACTATTGTCATTTAAGTGGAAGCATATAAAAATTTGACTTTACTTTCACCAGTTAAGGTTGATGAAAAGAGAAAAACCATAGGCAGTAATGCATGCATTGGCAACTTTTTTAATTGTGGCATACTTTTTTCAGTTTTGACTCCCTTCAGCCCTTGCAGTTACTACAAGTTCTGAATGATGTCTTTGCAGAGATTAATCCTCAGGTAATTTTTGTATGCTATTGTTTCCTGTTACAATTTGTTGGAGGTCGTTAGCATATTCTTAATGCCTCACTAGCATAAAAGGGGGAGTGTGGGCATGGAGAGTCAAGATTTGGAAAGTAAATGCTGAACATTTTAGGAGATGCCAACCATCAAATGTGAGCAAACTGTTTGTAGCTATTGTGGATACCTGCAGATTAGCACCATATATGGATGGCTGTGATAGAAAGAGTTGGAAGGTGTGGTGGCCTCATAATTAGTGTACTCGTCTATAGATCGAGCGGTCAGGGTTTGAGTCCTGGCTGGGGACACTGTGTTGTGTTCTTGGGCAAGACACTTTTCTCTCACAGTGTCTCTCTACCCGGGGATATAAATAGGTACCGGCGAGCTTAATGCTGGGGGTAACCCTTGTGATGGACTAGCATCCCATCCAGGGGAGAGTAGAATTACTCCTACATGTAGTTGTTTCTTGTTACAGAAACCAGGATAAGCTCCAGCCTGATGGGCCACTTGGCTTGTATGCAACTTTATCTTACCTTACCTTTGATAGACAGGGGTTGAACAACAGTGATTTTATAGTACTATTACGAAATATGATCTTCATATTTTTCTCTACTTTTTTATTATTATTTTTCAACAGCACAAAATTGATCTTCGGGATGAAGAGCCTGAACAAATGGCAAAAAGAATGTTCACATTCTTGAGAATTCTCAAATTCAAGCCAAAGACAGATTCAGGAAGTTTGTAAGTAATGCCAGTGACAGGGATAAACATCTCTTGGTATAAGTAAAAAGCCACCAGGCTAGTGACTTTGCAATCACCTAGCTTGCATATGTTTGTCAGACTATTTTAAACCTAAGTTTATTTTATTCAGAGTATTTTTAAATCTAATAGAGAAGCTGTTGTGCAAAATGAACCAAATGGTTGATTTCTCTTTGGAGTAATTGAAGAAAGCCCTGAAACTGTGAACCACCTTGTGAGATCCCTTTGAAGAACAGAGCATGAAAAAATAGCCACAAGCGCTTGTCAATAAGATGCAAATAAGCTGTAGGGTTTTCTGTGATTGAGCTACTATACCTTGATAGGAACACTTTCCCAATGCAACACTCAGTGACAATTTTCACTTGGAATTAAAGCCAATTAGAGTCTAAGTTTCTTTTCTTTATCAAATTTAAATGGTGTGTCATCTTCTTTAAATTTTTGATTTCAATCTTACTGCTATAAAAATTTGGCAATATTTAATATCAATATTGAACTTTCATTTCTTTCACACTGTTTAGGAATTCTTTTAGAAATGGGCTTATCCAGGGTGACAAGTTGGTTGTGTACCCTATTCTTCATTGGCTGTTTGAAAACCTGGCAGAATTAAAGACAAGAGCTTATCTGGCAAGATATCTGGTGAAGCTGGAGGTACCTCCAGATCAGCTGGGTGATCAGGAGTTAAATGACCTGAATGTGAATGTAAGTTTTTTTTCCTTCTAGTTAAGTGAAATTTTAGTTTATTATATGGTTTGTTTTTGNCCAAAACTATTTTTTCCAGAGGGCATGAGGGGTGTATATAATACTATTGGAAATTCCGGAGGGGTGGGGGGGTCAAAGATTGTGTTCAAAATATGGAAATTCTGGGGAGGAGAGGGGGGGGGGGCTTATGTGAAATCCCTTCTGTGGGGGGAGTGTGGATATTTTCTGGAACTACACATTTGATAATATTTGATTCATTTCCTTTTATGTTATCTTACATAATAAATTTGGATTGTATTGCATTGTATTGCATTGTATTGATTCAAAAGCTGTTATTACAGTTTTTAGTTGTTTGACGTAGAAACAATGCGAAAGGGTTAATTCTGCTTTGTATTGACCTGCTCGCCTCGTTTGCATGCCTTTTTAAACAAAAGAATATTTGATGGCAGACTCAACTGTAATAAAAGCTATTTGTGTGTGCAGTAGCATGGTCTTTTTTATGAAGACAACAGGTCAGTCAGGGTATAAAAGAAAACATCAGCAGAGTTTACCCCATTTGACCTATTGACACTAGAGAACACTCAGTTGTAGGTACCAAAATCTAACAAAGAATACTGATTTGTTGACATCAGTATTTAGACCTGATGGAGCAGTTTAAAGAGTTACACAAGACAGTTGAACAGCTCAGGACATCTGGACTATCAACAGGGGAGATTAAAAAGGTCAGTGGAATGTTCTTTCCAACTTGAAGGAACTGCAGAGGGGAGGGAAAACTTGGTCAAATGTGTTTTTTGTGCACCATCTCCTTCCCTCCCTTTTTCCCCTTCCACTTCCCCCCATCCATTTTATATACTACCCATTGTATCAAGGGGGGAGGGGTAGCATATTTAACCCTGTAGTATGAGTTAGCCACCCCCCCTCCCCTTGGAGACTGGGTCATGATAGGCTTTGGGACCCCAGGGAGAGCTGGGTAATCGTTGTAAAACAGAACAAATACCAGTCAAGAAATGTTATGTAAGGGGTGTCTCAAAAACTAAGACCTAAAACTTAAGATCTATGACCCAAGACCTAAAACCTCCTTCAAATCTCAAAAACTTGAGACAACTGTTTTGTAACATGCACTGCTTACAGAACTTAACAGCTGCAGTAGAGTTACAGAGCAAAATAGCTGCCTTACGGATATTTAACATTATATCTCATACTTATGTCATATTTTTAGGACATAGTTAACATGGAAGATGAAAAGGAACAACTACAGAAAAGAATTGATAGAATGCAGAAGAAGGTATCTCCTAAAAGTCCATTATCAAACAGATATAGATCTGTTTTCTCCTAATAATTACATTGTCAAGTACACTAATGAATCAAGGAGAATCTGATCAGAAAATTGTCATGTAAAACTGGGATAAACCACCCAACTTTCTAAATTAGCACTTTTAAAGAAATGTTTTGATTATGTTGATTAGTAAAGCTGAAGTATACTGAAAAGTTCTGAAAAATAAAGGATGTGGTAGAAGTCAGCATCTTTTTAAAATGAAAACCCAATTTGTGGTCTACAAATTCTCTTCTCAACTAATAAATTTTAGGCATGAGGTAGTTAATTAACAAGAATTTGACAATGATTCATTCTACTTTAGGTTGAGAATGTTCGGAACTATGAGAAGATGTTGCAAGCAGCTCGGAACTTGCGTGTTGAGAGAGAAAAAGAGCACGCTCTTGGTCAGCAAAAATTGGAACAGAAGAATCAGGTAAGAAACTCATGAACACTGATTATCAGATATCGTAGACAAACAACGGTGTAGGCGGGTTGGCCTCATGGTTAGAGTGCCTGCCTCCAGATTGAGTAGTACGGGTTGGAGCCCTGGCCGGGGACATCGTGTTGTGTTCTTAGGCAAGACACTTTACTCTCATAGTGCCTCTGTCCACCCAGGTGTACAAATGAATACCGGCAAATTTAATGCTGGGGGTAACCCTGCGATGGACTAGCATCCCATCTAGGGGGTACTAGAAATACTCCTAGTCACTTAATGCTACAGAAACCGGGATAAGCTCGGGCCTGATGGCTCACTTGGCTTGTATGCATTCATTCTATTGGCAAGCAATGCACTATAATTTACATGCTTTCCAAGTTTGACTTGTATTTTTTACAAGTTAAGAAAAACATAGAATGTACCTGATCACTAGCAGAATTGTAATTCAAAATGATAGGAGCCTGTTATGTAGTAGCGTTGGAAATTTGAAATAAGAAACACAGGGCTTATGTTTGTGTAGGATACCTTTCCTTTTGCATAGACGCAGGATTCACGAGTCATGAGTCTTTTTCAACAATCCAGACACTCATTAAAAATACTAGTAGAAAATAAAATAAGTTGGGAGCTGTATTAAAGCTGCCTAATTATACATTTTTTGTTTTGTTTATTACAGTACCTCCACTCAGACCAGCGTTACCAGCGTATGCTACAGCAGCTCAAGGACATGAGGGCTCAGGGTGTCGGCACAACTGGGGCAGGTAAATAGAGACATGTAGATCTAAACTTGGTTACGAGTACATGATTTAAAGTAAGTTACTAAAGGAAATATATGTTACCGAGAGTTGTATTGTAACTTTAGCAGCATAGAGATTGGGGTACTGAAAGGTTTTGTTTTTACTTACAGACCTTATAAAGAGACTAGAGGAAGAAAACAAAGTCAACGTATATCTCTGCCAGGAAAAACTACCAAAGGTAAAATCTAGCTTAAGATTAGGTAAAGATAAGCACAGCAACTGTCTTTTTCTATAATTCAGTAGTAAAGAGGGTGGAAAAGAGAACATGTATGTAACTTTGGAAAATATCCAGAAAAGACCCAAAAGTCAAAGAGCTCAAAATTGAGCCATGTATTTTTATCTTAAATTTTTTCATTTATTTTCACTAGTAGCTACAAGTTTGAACCAGGTGCATGTTGTTGCTGAATTAAATTTTTAAAAACTGAGGAAAACAATGTCAGAGACTTAACATGCTTACTGAGTGGTATAAAATGATTTTTTGAAAATACTAAGGAGCTGGAAGGGAAAAAGAAGTATGCACAAGATCTGCAGAAAGTAGCTGATGAACCAGCTATGGGCCAGACTGATGTTGATGAGCTTAACAAACGGGTAAGAGACAGTTAATGCATGGTGGACTAATAACTCCATTATATTGTGCATGAAAACTTACTCCTACAAAAATATTCAATGTTTGCAATCCTAACATGTCTCATGGTAGGCTTTATAATGAAATTATTAATATTTTTTCAGATCAAGCAACTCTCGGCAGAGATCAATACACTGATTGAAAAGAGAATGGTGCGGAATGACCCTATTGATGACAAGCTCTCACTTTTCAGACAGCAGGTAAGTTGTAAGTTTGTTGTTAATTGAAATCTTGCCTGTGGAAATTTCTCAAAGAATCTTCATTAGGATCCTGTTCAGCATAATTGAAGATAGTTAAGGATCTTGGAAAGATCCAGTTAAGTTTTTCACCAACTTACTTCAATTAATAAGAGCTGTTACCAAATTAATGAGTTTAGGAGGACTAGAAAGTTTTGCAGCCTTCTTTACTCTCATAGCTAAGGTTAAACAGTTTAGGGTTGTATGTTTTCCTCTTTCTGACATAATAAAGGAGACACAATAAGTCACTAGTTTAGTTCAACCTTTTCAGTCTATGAAAACACTTGTCATGTACAAAACAGAACTTTGCACATATCGTTTGTTACTATAGCCAACTTTGGGCTCACACATCTAGTTAATTTCTGTTCGTAGGCCTCAATCATTGGACGTAAGAAAGAAGCAGCTGCAGAGAAACTCCAAGAAGCCATGGATGAGGTAAATTACTGTAATTTTTAGTTAACAAACGTCTTCTTTAGCAGAGCACTTTGCATTAGAGTTAGTTTAGGTTAATGTTAGAGATTGCCCTGGTATTATTTTTTAATTGTTAATATCATTTTGGTGAACAGTTTAGTGACAATTGAAATGTGATGATTGTTTTTGGCTGCTTGTTGTTTGGCAGACGACCTTGCTTCTTAAATCTGCACCTGAGGATAATATTATATGATCCCAAATGTGGATGTGTTTGATGTTTGTAAACTTGCTAAATAGGTTAAATGTAACACTCATTGTGTTCAATTTTTAGGTGACCAATGCAGAAAGTGACTTGCAGAAAAAGAAAGAGTTATTAAAGGAAAGTGAAGGGTCTGAAGTGTTGAAAGGCGATGAGGTGAGTTCCAAGACTTGGTAATCATCATTGTCATTATCATGTCAAGAGGTTGTGATAAGACAGCTACTGGTAGATTATTCCTGAGTTGGGGGGGGGGNAGGGGCAAGGTTGAAGATGCTTGTCAGAAAATTTGAATTCAACCTCTGAAGGAGACCAATCTGGGTGTGGCTTAGGCTTTATTTGACTCCTAAAAGATACCACTTTAAATGGACTAGGCTTGATAGCCAGCCACTGTGCAGAAAAGAAGCATGCAATAGTAGACTGGACTTGAGAGACCAGCAGAAGTTGGGCCTAAAATCTGAAATAGGAGTGTTTATTTCCTTACAGATACTTTGACAGCTAATAGTTGTAGGTTTTCATCATGAACACCCTTAGTGAGACCAGAATTCTTTATTTATACCCCTAAGTGAGACAACAAGCATCCCCGACCTTTTCATAAGGGAGTTCACCCCCAGGGATTATTCCTGTCTCACCTTTTGTCGAACTTTGTTGTCAGCCACATTAGACTTAGGGAAACTGCATAACAGCTTATTTGTAGGAGGGATTTAACTTGGTTATAAGTCTGACACAGCTGGTAATGACGAGTGGATGTGACAGGTAGCCACAGGTGAGCTAATAGATAACTAACAAGGTGTGTAGTGCCAAGTTCGCTATCTATTAGCTCATATTCAACAAGTGCGGGTGTAGTAATTGTTTTTTAGGTATACACTTATATGGCTCATATACAACAATGGCTAAGTCAATAAAAGCTCCTGAATTTCATTATCCAATGATCCAGTTTTTAATATTAGTTAACCATTCAAAATGGCCTTATGCTCCACTCCCGAAGGAGCGAAGAGGATGAGTGAGTGATTCAAAAAACTATTATCTCATTATTATTCCACTATTATTCTGCACAATGCATTGAGAAACTTTTACTGATTCCAAGTTTGTTTGGTTTTAGTTCAAAAGGTATGTTAACAAGCTGAGGGGTAAGAGCACCGTGTACAAAAAGAAAAGGCAAGAGGTTTGTAGGAGAACTGCCTTCTTAGATTCCTGCTTAAAAATTGTTTCAAAAACATTGTGTGTATTTTGGATGAGACAGTTTGCCTAGTTTGTAACTGCCATCTCTGTGATTTCCAGTTGGCGGAGCTTCGTGCAGAGTATGGTGTGCTGGCCAGGACAGAGGAAATCTTGCAAGGAAAAGATGAGTCATTTCAACAGCAGTTGGTTAGTACTTGTACCACAACAGGGTTTTCTTTTTTCAGCAGAATTTTCTGTAGGCCTTTGTTTGAGATGGGGCTCTCATTTAATTCCAGAATAGTGTCAATTTAAATTATCCTTTCTTCTAACAGTGCCTTTTTAGGAAGTATGCATTTGAGATGTCTTTATTTGAGGTGTAGCTTTATTCCAAATAGATCCTTATAATCTGAAAGGTGCTTTATTTGATAAGGAACCTTTATTTTAAGGAGCAGTTAACTGAACTTGAGCTCGCAGCCTGTTTTATGTGTGGGTCTTATTCTTGATGGATCCTTGTTGCCTGTGGTGCTCTTTTGTTGAGGAGTCTTTACAGTGGGGAATGAGACACGCCAAGTAAACCTTGAAAGAAATATCATTTATTTGAAGGAGCCTTTTCAAAGAATGCTATATTTTAGCAGAGTATTGTTGTTGTGGAGGGAGCTTTGTTCGTGCCTCTGAAAGCACCAAGGATTCCTCACTAATGTACAGTTTTTGCAAAATTTAGTCTAATTTAGAAAGCAAAAAGGGTGTGTCTGGCTTCCATGAGACTCAAGAGGAACTGGAAAAGGTTTCCGCCAAGAAAAGCGAACTCGATGAACAGAAGGGGAAGACACTGGAGGACATCTCTGAACTGGTATGGATAGTAGCTTAGCTTTGATTGAGGAGATAGATGTGAAACAGTGCTTTATCACTTTTCCAAACACCTCGAATTTCATCAGAGTTACTCTTCTACACATGATGTTTTGAACTCCCTTGTCAATGTTAGGAAACGTGATGAAACATAAGCTCTTGATTTTGATACAGTATGTCAAACTGCTACTTAGGAATCTAGTGTGATAGAAGAGGGTGGTAAAGCGGGTCAAGATAACGGACATAACGTTTCACGGAAAATAAATTGGTCCTTTCATTCACGGGAAATAAAATCGACATTTCACGTTTCACGAAAAAAAAAATGTCATTTTTTGACACGAAGTTACGTACCTTATGATATTTGAAAGTTACGACCAAGCACAGCCTTGTTAGATGTCTTTATCATCCGTCCGCTTCTTGTTCTGCACACAGCAAAAAGAAATCCGAGGAAGAACACATACAGGGATGATTGTCCTGTTACGGTCACGCAATTTTGTTAATTACTGTCGAAAATAATAGAAAACAACCAGAATCACGGGTCACGACGAATTAAATACTTCTTTCTCATTTCACGGAGAATTATTTTGGAAAATCACGGTTCACGGCTTCTAATGNCACATTCTTACCTCTTTGTAGCTATATATATCTCTGCAAATTTTACTTCTTACATCTTGCTTGATAATGACCGAAGAGCGGTCGAAACGTCGCAAACTTTTACCGTTTATCTTTATTGCCAAATGTTTTAAAAAACCCTTACTGATAAGGATTCACATTTCACGAGAAATAAATTAGGTCATTCACGAATCACGAAAATACCCTTTGCCACCCTCATAGAATTTGAAATAACCTTTCCAAGTGATTTATTTGAGAGTTATTTTCCTCAGGTTCGACAACTGAATGGAACAATTGCTGATAAAAAGAGTGCCCTGGCTCCAGTCATCAAGGAACTGAGACCAATGAGACAGAAATGCCAGGTAATGAGAATTATCAACTTAGAATTTCTCCTTACTTTATCCATACATTATCAAGGAGGCCTGTGAGGAGAATGAAGAAAGCCATCAGTTCGGGGACATCTTGTTGATGTACCTCCAAATTCTTAGAACAGCCGTCAGAAGATACGTATGACAATTAGTGGGGAGAATTGATGATTGATTATCAAATTTACAGGAAATGACTGGAGAGTATGAAGAAAAGAAAGCAGCTTACGAGAACTTAGCAGCAGGACTGGAGAGCAACATGTCTAAACTGGAACAGGTAATATAAATACTCACCCACCTCCCCCTCAGATTCAAACATAAACCTTTTCCCCTTCCATTCTCACGTGTACACGTGCGCGTTGCTGTGGCAGCACACGTCATTTTCGCGCACAAATCTCGTGTCTAACGTGTTCAATTTTGCACCATTTCCAGGAAGTGCGCGGCCTTCGTGAGGAGCTGACGCACGAGGAAGGGCGATATCATTATTTGCACTGCATGCTGAAGGTGAGTTTTGGGGTGCTACTTTCTCTTTACAGACAGAATGGTACTCAAGTCTGTCAAGTGCCTCGTAGTTTCGCAGCGATCTCAGGAAACTTCCTTCAGACGCTTTCATGAGAATTTAGAGCAGTTATACCACTGCCATTTGGGGCGTCACGCAAGGCAGCATTTATCGTTGTGTGACAATCTAGAGGACGATTAGGAAACTGTTGTGTGACGATCTTATTTTGTACAACTAAGGTACTCGAGGTACAACAGAAGCGAATTGATGATGAGCTGAAGGCCTATCGTTCCGCGGATACAGCGGATCGTAAGAAATCTTTCAGGTAAGCTGTAATCTTTGCCTGTCACGCACCTTTTACCCTAACGGGTGACACCAAAAAGAAACGAGCATTGCGTGACTTTTTCTTTGTTGAAACATAGCCTCCAAGAGTTAACTGGGCTCCACCTTAGCCCCTTGAAGGACCCTAGTTAGCCTACGCCATTTTCGATCCCATCGGAATTATTAATATTGCATGGTGAAGCGAAATCTTACTGCTTCACTGAAAGTTGTGTTCCTGAAAGTATGTTTAATTATCTTTCGTAGTTTCACAGTGATTTCCTTCGTTTCGACATGCTCCGAATAAAATATAATAGCCAAACTCTTGCATGTTAACAAAAACAAAGGTGTGGCTGACTAGGGCTCGCAAATGTTCACATCGAACTTTGATTGAACAACTAAAGTTGGAAACGCTTCGATTGCCCCGAAGTTCTGCCGAAAACGACACTTGCTTTATAACTGCAAGGCCAACGTCCGTACGAATGTGGACCGAAGGATTCGGAAAAAATCCTTAGATTTCTTTTGAGAACATTTGCATTTGTTGCAAACTTGCGTAACTTTCGTTCTCTTTAATGCTGTTTCTTATGTAACAGGGAGCAGTTCACTAAAAAGATTCAAGAACAGGAGAACTTGGGAAAGGTATAAATAACGTGATTTGCTTACTTATTGGTAGATCTTCCTTTGTGTGTTTCATACTTTTGCAACTCTTTCTGCCTAGGCAAACTGTTGAAAACAATCTGGGCTCTTTAAGTCGCATTCTTCTCATTAGTGTGCTTTCTTTTTCAGAGTCTGCGTGATAAACAAAAGACTGTTCGAGAGAGCCAGGCGCCAAATATGAAACAGATGAAGATGTGGAGTGTAAGTTCATTTTTCCACACCTTACTGCTGTTGAGTTCAATGAGATTCAGCAAATCTTCCCACTCGAATTCAAACTTTTAATCTCAGGAAGCGCATGCTTTGAAATGCTGAAAGTCGTATTTCTGTAAATCTTCATTGCCTGTTCCCTGTGATGATTTAAATTCCGCGCGCCCTTCTAGTGCAAACTGACCCATTTTCATCTCTACAGGCCGCGATCGTTTTGGTCAGCGCCGAGAATAACGACCTCTGAATGGTTCCCACTTTTTGTGCGCGCGGAGAGTACTCATTTTAGATTCTCAGCCAATCAGATTTGAGGAGAGATCCCTGAGAATCAAATTAGAACCTGCTAATGACCTCAAATCTTGGTACTGATCAAAAGGAACGAGAAGTCTGAGTTTGCTACGAGTCGTTTTTTTTTTTTTATTGAACTAAACCCATTTTGTCCGTGTTTGTAGGTAGTTAAAACATTTCGAAAGTTTGGGAAAACTTTGGAATTTCGGAATTTCTTCGTTTTCTTGTTTCGGTAGTCAGGAAAAAAATCACGCAATGTTTTCTCTTCTTTTGGAATTCATTCAGTTGAATTACTTGTTTGCAAGCTTTCTTGCTCTATTGTTTTTTTAATCGCCTCTAACTAATTCCCTTTCTGCTTTTCCCCTTAATTTTAGGACCTTGCCAAATTACTGGAGTGCAAGCGAAACTGTATGGTGAAACAGCAACAGGAAGCACAAAACGGGGACTTAACCATGACACAACAAGGCCAGGATGGGGAAAACGTATTGGTTCTTTAAGAAACAGAAAGTCTGCTTCGTCACTCACTGTGCCTCCGACAACACAACTCTTTCCGCGTTTGTTAACTACTCTAGCACAATAGTTCCTGTACGAACTAACTTTTAAATGCTCAATCTTTTAAGTTATTCTTGTGTATGATATAGCGAATAAAGGGTTCCATGAGCAAAGTTTGAAACTGGGTAATCGTGGAGACCAGCTGTCGGCCGTTTGTCGGCCGTCAGGTTTTGGACAAAGCAAAGACCCGTTTGTCCAGTTCGATTCTCCTTCCCAGATCCCAGCATTAACAAAAGGACGAGAGTGACATTCGATGAAGAGTATTCGGTTTAAGTTGTCAATCTTACGGACGGCAAAGAAATGTGCAAAGATTTAGAACGACCGTGCACAGCTCATTAAACCTTTTGTTTGGTGACGTTGCCGTTGTGGTGGTTGTTTCCATAAGCTCCCTATTGCTGGGAAGCGACGGCACATTAGAGAACTTAAGAGGCCCTGCGCCTAAGAAACGACCGATGATTTCCGGCTAAAAAATAAAATCGGCCGATTTTTATCTCCCAAGTAGAGGTTAGCGAATACTATTTAAAAGTGAATTTCTTTTGTTTCAGTTTAGCTTTAAACCAAAAATATCGAGCCGCAAACTTTTTCCGTCTGATAGCAGCAAAATCAGGCCGAAAATAAGCCCCCG